TACTGATTTATTATTTTTTTTAAATGTGGGTAGGTTCGCAACGAGAACGATGCATCTGCGAATGTGGTTTTTTACTAGCCTAACGCAGACAGTTAGCCACTGATCACGCGAGAGGACCTACGTCACTCCGTTCCGCGCTCGCGCACTCGCTAACATCATATAACTATTATATTTACGTGCGGTATACCAAACAAGTGGAATTAGTCAACAATAAACTGTGAATTTCTTATGTGACTGTGTGTGCTGTTAATGTGCCCTTCTAGCTAGAAGAATACGCGGACCACAAGCTTGCGACAAAGGTTTCAAACGTGAGTACGTTACGCTTTTAGCAAACCCATTCGTAGTTGTATATTAATCGTTATCTCGTTGCAGCCCCTTTTCAACCGTTTTAATTACATATATCGGCTGCCCCCAATATGTATTTGCAATAACAATACAATGTTTTTTTTATAATGTTATTAGGATAAGATTGTTCCTTGAAAATCAATCAGCAATTTCCAATATAAAAACTCAATCTGTATAATAATCAATAGTCATTCATGATTTGGAAGTCTGGCGGGGTCAAGATTGAAACACGTAGGTACTATACTTGCGATTAGCGTTGCCAGGCATCCGGATAAAGCCGGACATAGTTAGGCTTTTTGATTACGTGTCCGGCCAAAATAAACGGTGCCCGGCTTGTCCGGCTTCTGTTAGGCTTTTTACAATTTAAAGGAATATTCTGCGTGGTTGTGGTAAATAATTAAACGTATTTAAGATAAAATAGACTATAATGAACTCAAAATCGGAGAGAGAACAAAAGTACGTTGGCAGTGAGTGACAAGTGACAATGGCGCCACACGCGCATAAAAATAGAACTAATTTGGTTGCGTTCCATTTTACATTAACACATTTCGCAAACGAGCGAACGCCGAGCGCAAGCGAGTTACTGTCGGTCGCCCTTTTTATAAAACCTAATATTAGTGAGCCACAAAATCCTCAATCAAATGTAGGTTGTCTGGCCTTTTTACCCAAACGTAAGGCCAAACTGGCTGGTATGTCCGGCAATTAGGTTTGGCGACCTGGCAAGCCTACTTGCGATGCTGTCACTCGCAAGTTGCCAACCATTAAATAAGGGATGGGGTCAGAATAGGCAAAGTTCGTACGTACGACTATGTACAAATCGTTATTTACGGTAGGTAATGATGATCCTCCTAAGGAACAGAAGCCTTGGTCCCATTTACCATGTCCCCAAATAATAATAAATGTATATTTCTAAAACTCACACCAGTTAGCCTAACCCCAAAGTAAGCACTGTATGGTTTATGTTATGGAATACTAGGGCAACGGATACAATTCATCTGATAAATAATAATAATAATAATCCTCCGTTTTTGTGACGGAATATTTCAAGAGGGGTCACAGAAAGTGTGACACAGCGTGACAATAGGGGGGGAGGGGGTCGGAAAAAGCTGATTTTAGCGTGACGTATTTTATGAACAGCCCCTTAACGAAAAAAGACATTACATAAAACATGTGTACATTAGAAGCTGCTGAAGTACAAAACTGTGTATTGTAAATATGAGTTTTTATCTTGAAATAATAATTTATGACTCAAGTACAAATGCTTCAAACATTTGCCCCACCGAGAATTGAACCCACGCCCTCTGACTAGGCGACACTCTGAAACCCAGCGTACACACCACTGGAGCCACGGAGGTCGTCAAAAGCAGCAAACATAAGGCCGCCACCATAGGCGCGTTCTTATCGGTCGATAATATCATCATCAGCCTATTAATGTCCCAACTGCTGGGGCACAGGCCTTCCCTATGGATGGAATAGAGAGATTGGTCCATGACTAACCACGCGGGCCCAGTGCAGATTGGTGGGTGCTAACGACTGCAGATGCAGCCGGGACCAACGGCTTAAAGTGCCTTCCGAAACACGGAGACACTCGAGATAGAAGATTTTTGATCAGCCATCCAATGACCGACCACTGCGAAAGTTGCTTATCTTCAACGATCGCAGCCGAACACGCTAACCACCTGCGCCATCGAGCTCCTCGTCGATAATATCCAATGCGTTATTGCGATATCTGTTTTTAGTACATTTTGTATTAGGACGGCTACGAAGTTACAGCTACGACAATAATGACGCAATAGAAGTATGGCGAAATAGCGCAATAACGCATCCTATTTTATCTGCCGATAATTACGGGCCTAAGCGCTTACAAGCTTAGAGACGATAACTTTTTGACACGAGTCTAATATTCCATCCAAATGTTAATTGCGTGACTTTTCCGTTGATTTGATGAAATCTCCATAATTGCAGGCATAGGCTAGACAAAGTTTCCGATTTTAATTTACATATTTGTATAATTTATTAAGAAATTGTGTTATAAGGATTATTCATTTAATCACAGGAGTCACGGACCCATGATATCAATCAGCCTTTTGTAATTTTTGAAAAGCTGTCCTAGCAAATCATTCTAATTTCCATACTTCCCGATGTTTAAATTGATTTAAATACAAAGGAATGCGGATCTGGTAACAACCTTCTTCTCCTCGACCTGAACCCATAGAGCCACACAGCCGACGAGGCCAGGAGGGGCATACTCAGCTTTCGCCTCTGTCGAGTCGGGCATACAAACGATACATGTTTGCGGATTTGGCGACGTATTGTGTCATTGTTTATGTATGTGTGTGTGTTGTAGTTACAGTTATGTTTTATATGTGTGTACGTTAAACTACGTTTGTGTATAGCATTTTAAATGCTATGTTATTATATTACTTGAACAAAAATTAGCACTTTAAAGTTCCATATTTCGCAAACGAATCTCCAAATCGAAAAGTAGTCTTAGGAACGCCTGAGTAGGCCTTTGCAACGATACCCCACACGATGGGTTAGCAGATGAAAAAAAAATCATCCCCAGATTACATTAGCTCTACCCTAAAAGAACTTTGTTTTTAATTTTATTAAACCATTTAGTGTGATTCATATACATATCTCTACAAAATTATATCTCAGCAGTGCTAACAGTCTCTAAGCTAAACCGGGGACGGACAGACGGATATGACGAAACTGTAAGGGTTCCTGGTCAGGACTACGGAACCCTTAAAACTTGATATAATGTAAATCGTTGTGCTCATGCTACTAGGTGCAGCACCTATGTCGCCATCGACAAATAATGCCCTCGAGTCATTTAATAGAAACATTAAAAGACCATAATACATTACGAGAACGATTTCCTTTGTCACGATTTCTGTCTGTTGCTACCAATATGGTAGCTCAATGGTCACTAGAAAACTCTTCGTTACCTGAGGCACTTACTATTGAGCTTCGACAATGGACGGAAGCTTATATCTGGGCGAAGAAAGACATAAGTATAAAGATAATAGCATCTGATTCACTGATAAAGATCTGATTCTGATAAACTTTGATAGTAAGACGCTATAAAAAACGTGATATTATGTTAATTATGATGCTCATGCTACGAGAACAGGAATGTGTTTGCGAGAACATATCATAAGAGACAGCTGAGGGGACGTAACTGAAAAAGTAAAAAAACGAGTTTGAATATATTGGAAATAGGAATAACATTATTTACCCTGAAAGAGGGCGGTTGCTTCACCAAGAAGAAAATTCACTATATGGCTGCATAGTAAGATCTGGGCAACATAACTCATCGAAGTGCAAAAATAATGCGTGAGTGTCATGCCACACTCGCGGTGAACGAAGTGAAAAATATTTATTTACCACCAATCCGCACTGGATTCCGTCAATCTAACATAAACAAAATCAATTCTGGCGACCGACGCAGCCTAAAAAGGATGCGAAATGTCAAATAATACATAAATGAATTAGTGCATCTATCCCGTTGAAACTTGTGTTATTTAATAATAATAGTTCCATCACAACCTAGCGAGGCATCTAGCTACACAACTGTCTAGCTAGATGCCTCGCTAGGTTGTGATGGAAAAATCATAAAAAAATAACCTAGCCACCAAAGATATAAATAAAGTATAAAGAATAAGACGCTTCGTTCCAAAAATCAAAATACAAACGAAAATGATGAGATAAAATTACAAATGAAATAAAAGCTTTAAAAGCTCATCTAGTTTATTGTTTTTTATGTTAAATTTGAACTATTCTTCTAACTCAAACAATATACACCATCACTTTTTATCAATAAATACTTATTACATATTATGTGTTTATACTTATTATGTTCATTTAAAATCAGATTATACAATTTTGCAAGGTATCGACCGAGGAATCACAATCCCTGATAATACAGTTTTTACTAGTTTCTGGGTTAGGGGTCCATTTCTTGAGCTTTTTGTATGTATACCCATAGACTTAATTAAACTAATAGTTACTTAAAATGTAAAATGTTGGGTTATGAGTAAATGATAATTGTTATTTCCTTTATTTGTAAGGCTAGTGCGACTCAGTTTGGTACTTATAGAAGTTGTAATAATAAAAATAGCATAGTATATTTTATATTAAAGTGGAGTAGTCAGATTATAATCGGTTTTATCACTTAATAATAATTTGTTATTGGCCCTTGCATATTAACTTGTTATAGTTTACAACACCTTTGATGGATAATATTCATATCAGAAAATTGTGGAAAACTTATCAGAGGCTTTGATAACAAGTTGTTATTAAAATATAACTAGTTATAAGTCTGTACGATAAATTTGTGATACCTAGGATAGCCTAGGGTTTTATATCTTTTAATTACAAATCTTTCCGATCCAAAGTTTGAGATTTTTTTTAATAAGGGGTACTATTTTATTAACCTATTATTTTTGAATAATCAATGTTAAAACATTAGTTAGTATAAGTACTAAATCTAATTACAAAATTACAATACACTGAAAAAAGTTGCCGGCTTTCTGTCGATGCTTTCAAAACTCATTCTTCGAATATTGCAATACCAATAGCACTGAAATACGTCCTTTTCTAATAATCAAAAAACATCGGGAAAAGTTTAAAAAGTAATTAAGCATACTTACTTTGGTGAAGTAAAGTTTTGAAGCTGAATGAAATAAAAATCGAACACCGAAAATTTTCACAGGTCAATCAACCGAAACTGTTCTATTTTCGAAATATAAAAAGTGCTTTAGTTCTTTTTTTTACTCAGTATAATACTCAAAAAAGTGTTTGTCCAGAGTGGCGCCAATCGTAATAACTGGGGAACTCCATAGTACACGGCCCGTACACAAGCATCGAGTTCGCGTTTTCGCGTAATACTAAATTCTGTATCTCTCTTCGCCATAAACGAGTTGGTCGCGGAATTTTCGCTCTAATGTATTTTCTCTTTGTTGCCACGTTGAACATTGATAAAGCAATGGAGAGTAAACATATTACCTACGAATATAATTGTTTCCTTTTACAATTATATGGGTTATTTTATATTCAACGAATATTTTCTGGATAATACAAAAGTCAAGGACGACGCTTCCAGCTTTTAGCTAATTTATTATTTTAGAGGCAACATATTTTGTCATGGAAACACATTTATAAGTAATTATATTTTGTTAAGTACTAATGAAGCGGAAAACGTATTTCCAAATTATGATGTGAATGAAAGAGCTTACAGTTAAAAAACTTACCGATTGAACTCATATTAATTAATAATTAAAAATCGTTTAAAAATTGAAATAAAAAAATTACTTAAAAACATAGATAGTGAAGCCAGGCCAATATTCATTTATGCTAAGTAGGATTTACCTTTTTGATTGATTACTTTATAAAAAGTACAAAAATAAATTGATTATTCTATTAGTTTTTTTTTATTTAATGATGGAAAAGTTACATGCATATTTTAATAGCATATTTTTATAATTACTTATATATTTAAAAAAAAAGCTCAAAGATGTCGGTGAAATTTCACACATATCAACGAACGCATACTGACATTCTCACGCAGTTTCAAACAGAATTTATTAGATACTACGACACGTGTTGTCAAAAACAATATCGGAAAGTTTAAGTAATTATTTCAGCGAATGACGGAAATCGTCCTTCTGGCAACTTTCTGTTTCTTCTGACAGCTTACCGAGAAAGTCAACCTGTGTACCTAAGTCCATATGTGCGAGTGTCTAAGAGAGCGAGAGAGGAAAAGTTGGAGAAACGATTTTTTGATAAAAAGCTGATATTTTCATACAAAATACCATGTACAGAAAATATTACTAGAAAAAAATCCACGCAGACCAGGCAGCAGACGGGACTTGAACCCGCACCCTTCGCTATCCGGGCGAATCCACTGACCAATTATGCTACCGCAGCCCTATTGGCCGTGTTGAATTCTTTCTAGCCTTTCTAAAGCTGCAAGGCATCGCCATCTCTTCATATTGTAGTAGTATTGTATTGTATTGTAGGTAATATTTTCTTTAGATTTAAACATCGAACAGTTACATGCTTAAAAAATTAATATTATAACTGTAATTGCTATTTCTTCTTTCAAATGTTTAATACTTGTAAAGGTATTCGTTTTACATTGTGGGTTACCTACAATGCACAGAGATGGCGCTGCCTTGCAGCTTAAGAAAAACTAGAAGGAATTCGACACGGCCATCAGGGCCGCGGTAGCATAATTGTTCCGTGCATTCGCCCGGATAGCGAAGGGTGCGAGTCAGAGTCCCGTCTGCTGCCTGGTCCGCGTGGATTTTTTTCTAGTAATATTTTCTTTAGATTTAAACATCGAGCAGTTACATGATTAAAATTACAAATATACCATGTACAGCCACATTCTTTGCTTTGGGACCCGCATATGGATGAATATCGGACAGCAAAAAAACATCACTTTGAAGTACGTTGTTAGGATACTATGTATAATATGTCAGTAAAGTATTGCTCAGTTTACGCGCCATCCAACCGTTTAAACACAAGAAGCGAACAGGCATTTTCGATTTTGTGCCTATCCGTCGACATACTCACCGTTATTTTTGGTAATATTTATTTATTACCGCTTATCAAACGACTTCAAATAAGGAAATATTTTTTAATTGATTTCTGAAATAAAATGTTTATAGATTTCAATAGAACATTTGATAATATCTTTACTTGGATCATCATCTCTTGGATTCTTAATAAAATTTCCTTGGTGACACTGAGGTTTTTTTTTTACAAAAAAATAATTGTAATGATCTGGAGATTTCGACCTTATTGCAATGCAAATCATAGCACTCACCTATGGAAGGCGTATTTTTACTCCCAATCAACTTTGAGCACGAGCACACAATGCGTTGCGGCGACTTCTAGTAGTAATTATAAATGTTTACTCATAATACTAACAATTTAATAAAATTTACGCACAATTGGAGCTGGTGTCGTACTCGACCGATAAGTTATAATAACATTGAAATTGCAATCATGTTTAACGGAATTGCGCTCGAGTGTAATAAGCCCGTAAGCTGTTCAGGTGATATGAATTTACAAGGAATTTATTCACCTGTTTTAGGTGAAGTACACTCTACGACAGGAAATTAGTAATAGGATGATACTGGCGTGAAGTCATGATACTATGATATCTAAGGTACATTATTTTCTCCATACAACACTACATAATCTAGTTACTCAAGTATTATTTATTATGTTTAGAAAAATACGCTGATTTCATCAAAAATATTTATGGAATTTATTATCCAATTGTACCACATACAATATTGAAATTAATGGCAACACAGATATTAAATATGATAAGTGTGCATCTTTTAATTAATTTAAATGAGCTATGGAAATCATAATAAAATTAGCCTAATCGGCAAACAAAAGCATGACTTAACAAAATACTATACTTATTGCAAGCCCATCAAAATACATACGACGACCTCCGTGGCCGAGTGGCTCGAGAGGTCTCGGATTCGAATCCCGGTGGGGGCAGATGTTTGTGTGATGAATTTGTACTCCAGTCGTGGATGTTTAATATGTATTTCTATATAAATATACTTATATATGTACAGTATATGTATTCTATCCGTTACCCTAGCATCTCATAACACAAGCTGTGAAGTCTCTAATTTATGTGATTATTGAAAATATTTATTTACATATAATGTAACCGAAAGGGTTGGCTAAAAGGCTATTCATCAAGACTATTAAGTATCACTGTCATATCCATACTTACAGTGTGACGAAAACATTCACGTGATTTTTATACAACCAATACAATGAATTTAAGTATTATCTGTCAGGTAGTAACTGGTAATAACATTTCTCTATATGCAGATTCCCTTTTTTAAATATATTTATTTAGAATTTCACCGATTTCTCTTTAATTTATTGAGTAATTTTAGATGTTTTTTGAGATAATTTGTACCAAGTTACAAAATTTGGCAGAAATCAAAGTTCTCCTTTGACGCATATATATGTTTTTACCATATAAGCATTAAATTGCTTGATTTCTAATTGGAAAGAATAATATAATTCTTTCGCTCTCCGGGCGGATGCACAAATCGCTAGGCTACCGAAACCTTAATGGCCGTGTAGCTTGTCTAGTAATTCTTAGGCTGCAAGGCATTGCATTGTAGGTTAAACACAATGGCAAACGTTATGCTTCTATAGGGTTTATCAACAAGAACTTTGTTTTTCAATTGTGGCTGCACCAACAATATGATAGTTTAGACATTTAGTTTTTTGACGTATTCGTAGTAGATGCATTGGCAATTGTTACAATAAATTCAATTTCGATTGAAAATCGAATTAAAATAATTAAAGATTTTAACTATGAAAATAGTGGTTCTGTTACAGTTACATTTTGTCAAATTCGTGATATTTTCGGACAACATAATCGTCCTTCTGAGACCGCTTTTAACAATTTATTCGTTTTAAAATTGAGTCGACAGGCTCGATACAAAATGTGCCAACTCCAACGCGTGTTTGACCGGGTCGTTCAACTGAAATCATCGCAGCCGTGAGCCACACTGTTGAAGCAGATCCAAATTTGTCAATTCTATCATTATCCAAAACCACCACATGGCGATTTTTGGCCTATTATTGATGACGTGGATATAACCGATGTGTGGTTTCAACAGGACGGCGCCACATGTCACACAGCCAATGAAACGATCAATTTATTGCAAACCAAATTTCCCGATCGCATAATTTCACTAAACTCAGCTGTTAAGTGGCCAGCCAGATCATGTGATTTAACACCACTAGATTATTTTTTGTGGGGCTATGTTAAGGACAGAGTCTTTACGGGGCCAATTGAATCGATTGCAGCCTTAAAACTCAAAATCCGTGATGTGATTAACGACATAGTCCCGGCATTTTGCCAAATTTTTCATTCATAATTGCCTAACTTTTCTCTTTGTAATTAAATAAAAAAATTAATCATCTTCATCAATATTTTTTGTTTTATTTTGTTTTAGAAAACAAAGTGTAAAACTATCACCTTATACTATATTATCATTTTCACAAAATACAACTTAAGAAGATATAACAATAAAATACAAGTAACATTAACAATTTCACATCATAAAACTATAAAATACACTAACTATAAACAAATAAGTCTCTATCTAATTACATAATTACTATATATAAGTAAAATATAAATACTAGAATAATAAAACTAAAATTAAAAACCTTAAAACATAAAATTAATAACTAAAATATATTATTAAAAGGAGTCCCTTTAGGCAAGGAACCGAAGATACTGGCAGCGTTACCTCTTTGAATGGCTAGACTAATTCTTGTTCTTCTTCTTCTTGTAAACAAAGTTCTTGTTGAAAAACCCTATACAAATGTTTAGTGTTGGTAACACCAAACAAATAAGTTTTGAGTTTATTAAGTTTCGCTCCATGAATATTATGGTGGAATTTTCCCTCTCTTCTTTTGTTTTCCTTCTTGTCAATTTGTACGTTGAAAGCAATACAAGCAAATTTTACCTAGTTAGTTTGGATTTTATTTATTTCATTCTTCCATGCTCTAATTGAACTTCGCGCATATATTTTGCCTAAGATAATAGTGTAACATTTAGCTTTCCGTAACTTTGGTCACCCATCCTTTTCCCGGCTAATGCGATAGCGCTTTCAGTTTTCGAGTACTGATTAGAGTAAGGTACCTAAATTATTGACATTATAATTTATATAAGTTTGATTTCATTGTCATTAGAGTCAATGGCATCTCTCTTTTGTACGAATTTTATTATAGACCTTTAGAAGTTGTATATTTTCCTCATTCATAATAATTTATGTTAGATACAATATATTGAAGGCTGTTAAGGTTAGAAATGAAAACAGGGCAATAAACTCCATTCTGTGAAGAGTTCCT